CGAGCGCCCGGCCGGCTTCCTCTGTGGGCTCCTCTGAGCATCAGAGGACTGAAAAGGGCCCTTGGGTCATGAGTTACGTTACATCATACTATATCTCTGCTCAAACGCCGACCTAAACTAGCCGGCGCTGCTTTTCCCATCTAGTCCGCTCCTGTTGGAAGCCCTTTGGAGCCCCCTCTGTGATTAGAAACACTGTTTGCCTTTGTAACCTAAAGCTTCTGTGGTCAATCTGTTCCCTTCTATTCTCGTGCCAGCATTGTCCTCTAGCCGAAGAAGTGCTTTCCCTATCTTCTGCTTCCCCCCTGCTTTCCTGGCGAGCACAATGCTCCCTGCTCCGCAGTGCTGTCAGGGCTGCAGTGCTGTGGGGGGGGTGAGGTGCTCCAGGGAGACGTGGATGCCTCTGCTCCTCTTAGCTGGTGCTGGGGGAAGAATGGTTGGGATCAGAACTAACTCCTCTCCCCTCTCTCGCTCCTGTGCAATTAGTCTGCTTGGCTCAGGAAAGATGGAGGAGAACAAAGAAAACGACCTTCAGCCTCCGTTACCTCAATCTTACGCAGCAACTGTAGCCAGACAAAGTACAGTGCCTTCAACTTCGACCATGCCAGGTAAACAGCACGGCTGTCCTTCTCCAGAGACAAGCAAGAAAGTGCCCTGGGGCAAAGTCTCCCAAGGCTTCAGTCAGAAACCCCTTTGTGCAATGCAGACTGGGGCAGCAGGACTTGAGCGCACCTGGTTCAGCCCCTGCCCCCAAAACAAACCAGACATTCTCTGCTCTGCGTCCCGGGACCCCTTCTCAGCACTTCTCCCTGTGCAGAGCTGTACCCCAGACAGGCCCCCAGCAGAGCAGTAACCACATCCGAGCTTCACAGTCAGTTGGGCAGCAGCTGCTGCCAGTTGGGGTCCAGGCGTTGAAACTGTGGGTGCAGAAGTTGGAGCTCACTCTTTTTTGTGGCAAGATCGCTACAGATTCTGTAGAACCCAAACCAGTTACACCTTACCCTAACAAAGACTAAATGGTAGCAGGAGAAGACTGGGTGATTATCACCATATATTCCCAAGTCTAAAGTTCCACGTGTGGATCTTACTCTGCAATTGGTGCGTACACTGCTGGTGGGAGGAGGAAAGCTGCTCCCACAGGAGCTGGCCGTGCAGTCTTCCCTCATCCCTGCTGTCGATGGAGATACTTTTCCACAGTCCCTCGGAGCTCTGCCAAAAAGCCAGAGGAAGCAGCTCTGTGCTAAAAGGTGATAAGCTGGTGTCTCTGCTGTTTCCAGGCTCTTTCCACCCGTTTCTCTGTAACGTGTTGCTTGTTTACTGGGGCAGGTTACTCGGAGGACGGCGGTGCCCTGCGAGGAGAAGTTATCCCAGAGCATGAGTTTGCAACTGGACCAGTGTGTCTCGACGACGAGAATGAGTTTCCTCCTGTGAGCATTCGGGACCCCTAAACCTGCTGTTCAGCCCTCATGCTAAGAAGAAAGTATTAACCTCTTACAGAAGAGATCCCGTTGTCCCCACCTTGTCCCAGCTCACTGGGAAGCCTAAAATCACCAAGGAAGTTCTAGGGACAGTGCCAGGAGAAGTGCAGCCCCACGCAGTGGCAGCGAGGGATGGGGCAGAGGTGATCCAGCCTGAGAATTAGAGATGGGTCAGAACAAACTAGCTGAGCAAAGTGCAGATGCAGGGTGGCGTTCAGGTCCAGATCTGGCCTTTGTGCCTCCTGCAGATTTCTGGTATTACCAGGAATAGCTTTAACTGAACAATGCCATCGTTTAGAAATAAAAACTTAATACTCCCTGTTGCATTTACAGTCAGTTGTATTAGTTTATGGAATGCAACTGGGCCGTACTTGAGCCTCACCAGTCTCTTCCTTTCCAAGCTAACTGAAAAGGGAACTCCTTTTCCAAGCACAGAGATGAAAGGCATACTCTTAAACCATTTTATGATTTTTACATGGTGCTTTCTCAGTTACCATTGGAAGAAGATACTGGCTTTTTTTAAATCTGACTTAAGCCTGGCAGTGTCTCTCCTGCTCCTCTTCCCATTGCACATGCATTTCTTGTGAGTATCTAACCCCTAAAGGGACAGATGTTGGTACCATGCTACGCTCTGGTTGTAATCACCAGTGTCTTCATAACAGTGATGTGTTAATACAGCAGAGCATTGTCGTGGATTTCAAGCTGTAGTCTTGGCAGACTTCTGAATCCCTTACTCTGTGTTTGGTATCCTGCTGCTGCAGCTTTGCTTAAAAAAAGAGGAAGTAAAAGCTTTTATCAGGATCCCAGGGTTTGCTCTGTACGCTGAGGCACTTCCCTGTGAGCTGCTGCGAGGTGTTCCTTAGATAAAAGATGGCCAGCTCGTGACTCCCTTTGAAACAACACTGCCCAAATCCAGCTCAAGGTGCATGAGCTTTAGACCCGTTCTGTTCTGTAGCATAACTGAGAAGAAGGGTTTTCTAGTTGTCCTACTCTATTAGCCAAGAGGATATTTAAAATGTCCCTCCTCTGGTCTCAAAGTCCTGTGGCCATGGAGAAGCCCAGGCCCCTGGAAGGAGCAGCAGGGCCAGAGAGAAATCCTTTGCTTCCTTCTGATGAACCTGCTGCTGAACGTGTGGTTTGGGGACAAGCGAATGCCAGCGGGCAGGAATCACGCTGCTCCTGAACGAGCCTTCCTGCTGGGAGTGCTCTGTGTGAAAGCAGCCCCAAACCCCTGCAGCCCAACAGCAGGAGCTTTAGTCAGGGAACTTTGATCTGGCAGAATCCTGAGCTGTCATTAACCTGGGGGAGCCACCTAACGCGTGTAACGTTAGGGAGGAGGCGCTGTGGGAGGGCAGGCGCTTCCCAAACCACTCCCTGATAACGGTGTGGTGGCTTAGTGCCCTGCTCTGGGGACAGAGGTAAGTGTTGTCCCTGGAGAGGGTTTGATTTGAGCTGCCAGACGAAGTCCCCAGAGTTGGGGCTCCAGGTTTGCTCCTCCTTTGGTGCCCCCGATGCCTTCGGCCCGTGGCCCAGCAGCCGGAGCGGCGCTGGCTCCCGCTGCGCCGGCGCTCACGGAGAGCTGCTGGGGGTGTTTGGATGCTCTGATTTCACTGAACTTTGCTGTTTTTCTCAGCCTTGATGACGTGTTCAAGGGGGGTTTCAGGCATCAGTCACTTCTGCGTGGAGAAGGAAGGAGAGAAAACCTGACCCTATCCAAGAAAAATGTTTTGACAGTACTCTGCTTTGCGGAAACATGGGAAGGGTTTTGTTTGTTTTCCAGCGTGCAACAGAAAGACATTTAAAAACCTCAAAACTTGTGACAAAATGGAATATTCACCCACAGCCCACGCCACGAGTATGGCTTTGAACTTAGACATACTTTTGGAGAAACAGCAGCGCCCAGACCCAGCAGTTCCTCTCCATTTTGAAACATCTCGCCTTCCCCTGACCTCGAGCAAGACTTCAGAAGCTCTGCTGTTAAGAGTGAGGAAAAGCAGCTTCAGTCTAACATAAAATCTGCTGCTGATTGTTGAAAACTGCCTCTTCATTAAACAGAAGGAGGGAACAGATCAGAGAAGAGATGAGAAGCCCAAGGAGGGCTCATAAAAGATGGCCTCAACAAGACTGAGCGCGGATGTTGCTCCCGATTGTGCCAGGACGGCTGAAGGATCCTGCAGGGAGAGGTGACACGAGGTCCCTGCGTCTCTCTCTTGCACTGATGGGGTGGCTGAAGCCCTTGCAGGTCTGCTGGTGAGGGGTTTATCTGTCTCAGTGAGGTCTCCAGCCGTGCTGCTGGCGTGTGCCTCGGGCCAGGCAGGGCATGGCTTGGCCAGCTCTGCTTTCAGGAGCCACCACAGTGGCTCTCCCCACCGAGGCAGGGTCAGGGCAGTTTTGGGGTTAGCACTGTGAGGTGTCATTAAAACAACCCCACAGGATTCAGCAAGCAAGATGGGCCTGAGAAACACAGCCAGAGGGTCTTAAAAATTCAGGGGTTCAGTGGGAAAGGCGATTTCTTCCAGCAGATTACTCAGTGCTTTCCCAGGCCTGCGTGACCCATCCTGAATTCAGCTGCACCCTGAAGTTTGTCAGCTTCAGGACCAGAGCTGGGGTGAAGGCCCCAGCACCCCCCGTGCCCCACAGATCTTCATACGACCAGCCAGGCTGCAGAGGCACCTCCAGCTGCGTGGGACGGGTGGTGACCCAGCTTCCTCCTCACTGTGCTGTGCTGGATGGTGCTTCGCTCGTTCCATGCACGGATATCTGACACTAAGGATTTGAAGTGATCTGTTTTTTTAACAGCTGGCTGTTAGCAAAGGCAAGGCTGTGGGTTTTGCAGTGAAACTCCACTGGTAATCATGCTTCACAGGGGATGAACTCGTTTGACAGAACCTGACTGGCCTCTTCTTCCTCACAGCAGCTCCTGCCCCGGTAGCTCGGGCATTCTGGGCAGCTGGAGCTCGCAGGATTAAGCCCAGCTTATCAGCACATTATCTGAGGTCCCTTGGGAAGCGTGCAAGCCAGTGACAGTGCTTGTGCCTCAGAACTGGGCAAGTGATGGTCCTGAAGCCCGTGGAGAGACGGATCCCAGGAGGAGGAGCTGGCATGGAGGGCTGTGGGGGCCGTGTTGGTGCTGCCAGGAGCTGTGGGTTGTGCCTGGCGGGGCCGGGGCTGGCACAGGGAGAGCTGCCCCTCGGCTGGTGGTTGGGGTCAGCAGCCCCACGGCTCTGCCCAGACCTCAGCCAGAAGTGGGGGCACTCCCCTGGCTCTCCAGCCTCGTCCCGTGGCATGAGCAGCTCATGAAGGAGCTCGGGGTCCTCGCTGCTGCTTCTATGCGCCCGCTTTACTCTTTCTCTCAGAAACTCTGCCAAATCTCAGGCCAGGCTTCCCCTCCCCTAACCCAGTCTAATGTGTCTGTGTTTAGCTCCAGGCTCCAGAGTTGAGTCCAGGGGGATGTGGAGACCCCAGAGAGTCGTGTGATGCACAGCTCACTCCTTCCCTCCCACCGTGCCAGGGCTGAACTTTTTGGGAGGCTGTGGCGAGGCGAACAGACTCGCCCCAGTCACTGAACCCAGCCTGTGTGGCTGGGCTCAGCCCAGTGCCAGCTAGAGGCAAGACTCACTTATCACCAAGCCAGATGGTTCCTGTTCCCAAGACTAAATTTGGGGAGGGGGAGAGTAAATAAACAAACATCTCACAGCTCTGCCTTTGACTGGAAAGCAGAACGCTGCAGGACATCCCTCCCCCTCCTCCTCCCATGCGCGTAAAACCAACGTGAAACACACCCTGTTGCTGGGAAAAGTAAAGGCCCTTCTGTTTTGATTTTGGTAGATAATCTTGTGCCGTGGAGGTCAGCCGGGCAAAGCCAAGAGGTCATGATGAGAAGCAAACATCCGTGCTCAGGACAGCTGCTGGGAAGTGCTTTGGAAAAGCCAGGAGTTTCGAAGAACAGATTTGTGAGTCCCCCAAGACGAGGAAAACAAAAATAAAACCCCAGGTGGGCCACTGCTTTTTCCTATGGTATGTTGAAGTGACTACCTGGCCCCACTAGCCCCTTGTTTTAATTCGTGTTGGGGAGGGGGGGGTGTCAATGTACTGTATGCACATCACTCTATTTAACAGACTATATGTTAGAACCACAATGTAAATGCTAATTTAATCAGATTTGTATGTAACCAGAATTTTATATATACCCGTTTGTCCCTTTTCTAATTTATGCTGGTTTATGTGTATAAATGTACTTATAGGAAAAGATATTACACTTATGTCTTTGTACAGTATATACATACTATTTTACCCAGGCAAAGTATTTTTGCAGTGATATTAGAGAAGATGCCGTTTGCTATGTTTAAAGACAGAATAAAGTCATGGTCTGTCCCTGGCAGCTCGCTGCCCGTGCTCCTGCTGTTCTTTGTGGGGCCCTAAAGATGTCAGTCTCGATTAAATTTTAGGAGTGGGACAGTGGGTTTGGGGGGGCTGGTGGGAGGACAGCTGCTCCCACCCTCCCCACCTGGCCAGGCCCACAGAAATCCACTTACGGGATGTCTAAAGAAAGCTCTGGGTGGGTCAGTCAGGGTCCAGAACTGCTTCTGAAACCCCTCGCTCAGCTGCCTCCCGCTGGTTCCTTCAGGTTTCAGTTGCACTTTCCAGTTTGCTTCTGTGGCTGCCCAGGCTTTGCACCTGCCCACAAAGGGCCCTGGAGGAGCTCCTGCCCCCATCTGTGCCCCTGGCATCGCAGGGGGGGTGGCAGG